GGGAATATTTTAAAATATCCCTGTGATCTGGAGATGTAATACACTGATACTCAAATAAAAAGCCAAGTGTGATCAAATGATTGCGCCATACAGAAAAAAAATCATGTGATATACAGGAGACTAGACATAAATCACCCATTTCTTAATCTTAATTGAACCCAGATAAAATTTTCCTTCACTTTAAATGTATTCCAGTTCAAAGTAAATTTTAAAATTAAACCAATTCTTTAAATGTGGGGGTACTTTTTTCTTTTCAATTGTATTTTTGTATACTTTCATACATTAATTTCTAAGTATCACCCACTTTTCAACTGAAATGAACTCTTATCTTCCACTTAGCCTTACACAGAGATAAAACAGGGACTTTTACTTGCTTGGGATACAAACTGTCTGACTTCTTGCCTATGTTTATTTGTTATGATAATATTTCTCAGTTTTTTAAACTTTGTAACAGGTTGCTAGGTGTATACAACTCTGTAATTAAGTTTGGATTCTAAAACAATATATTGGATTAACAGTATATAAGTTTTTGAAAGATAATGAAGCCAAATGAGTCTTGATATATTAATGATGGCTGCTATCAACAAATAATTCCAAAATTTCCAGTGACTTAACACAAGTTTTCTTTCCTATTCATAGAAATGTTCCTGAATGACACATTATTCACAGGCCCTAACTCTTCACACCCGTGGTCACTGAAAAATTATCTTACCATTTCTCTCACAAGCAAAAGGGGAAAGAGATGGCAGAGTCCATCTAGTGACACATACCACTTTCACTCATAAATCATTGGTGAAAACTAAGCTACTTGAACTTTACTTACTGTCCAGGAAAATCATAACATAAATTAAACTAGGTAAATTTGACTGGGATTATTTCATGTCAATTGTCTTATTTGACAGCTATTTCATAAGAGGACACAGGCAAAAACAGGCTTTTACAAATTGCACCAACAGCATAAAAGCAAGGGAAAAGTTTCCCTGGAGAACAGCAGCTGGCCAGTGGCAACTCTATACTAAGAAGAAGAACAAATTTTGGTGGGGGTTAGCCACCCCAGCCATGCCTGCATAGGATGCATGAAAAAATAAATTCAAAAACAAACTATAAGCTCATTAGAATAAAATAATAGAACATCAAAGATAAGGAGAAACTTAAAAACAACAAAAGAGAAAAGATAAATTGCCTACAGAATATTGATAGTCAAACTAACATTAGATATTTCATAAGCAACAAGAGAGATTTAATGACAATGGAATAATAACTTCAGGAAAAATAACTGTTAGAGAATTTTGCATAGCGCTGAAATATCATGAACAAATTATGGTGTAACAAACTTTTTCAGAAAGAAACAAATATTAATAAAATTTATACTTTACAATTAGTAAAGATTATAATATAGGAAGTAAACTGAACAGATGAGGAAGGAGAGAAAACAAGAAGCAAAAGGGAACAACGATTTGTATAAATATATGAATAAATCACAATAAGTAAGGTAAATAACAACAACAACATTTTGGAGGATTTAAGAACCAACCAGAACTAAATACTAAACAATTATGGGTACATGAAGGCAAGAGTAAAAACATGGTGAACTCTGTATAATATTGGTCCTTTAAGGAAGGAGAAGGAAGGGAGATATGACAGACAATTTGAGACTTTATTTATAACTTTCTCCCTGCCCCTCAATTTAAAAGACTTGAAGCAAATACATCATAATGAACCTGATTGGGTTCAGAATATACTACCCCCAAACGTGGCACCTTTACATATCGAGTATTTTAAGCTAAAGGATCTTGAGAAATGGCGGGTTCAGGAAGGACTCTCTAACCAGTTCCTTCCTACCTAAAACAGGTCTTAAGACCCTCTTGTCAGAAGTGCACACCGAATGCCTGGAGAAAAGGAGCATCTTATTTCTGAAGACAGAGGGATGCCAAGAGGAATCCAAATGAACATGAATTGCTAACTCTCCCCCAGTTTACTACCCTTAGCTCCTACTCTTTCCTCCTACCACATTCTTCCATGACCTTCCACTCTGCATCAATCCTACTATAAGAACACACAGATTTAACTGTTTCTTTGAGTCTTTATTTCCTGATAAAGACTCTCATGTCACATAAAATTATATTAAATAAATTGGTATTGTTTTCTCTTATTCCGCCTTTTATCAGTCCAATTTATAGGGTTCCAGTCAGAGAACCCGGGAGGGTAGTAGGAAACACTTTTTCCTCCCCTATGAAACCATATGTTTTATCTTGATATTGCGTCTGTTATATTATTTTCATGTTTGCTCTATTTAATTACAAAAAACTACAACTAAAATATGTAATATTGGAAGTTTCAAAATCAATGAATTCTCCAAATTTTATAGGAACATGATATATTAAAAAAAACAAAACTGCCAAATGCTGACAGAAATTATAGCTAGATTAAAAATCTAAAAATGTCCCCTTTCAGTGTTTGGCTTTTTAAATAGCATTTCATTACACAAACTGCCTTTGGTCCTCTAAATATCTTGTGGTAGTCTTGAATACTCATCACCAAATATTTCCAATTGATGAACATGAGATGTCTTTCTCTCTTTTTAGGTTACCTTTAATTTCTTTTAGCAATGTTTAGTTGTTTTCAGTGTATAAGACTTTCACTTCCTTGGCTAAATTTATTCTTAAGTATTTTATTCTTTAAGATGCCATTGAAAATTGAATTGGTTTCTTAATTGTTTCTTTTTGATTGTTCAGTGCTGGTGTGTAGAAACACAGCTAATTATTACATGTTAATTTTTTAACCTACAACTTCTCTGAGTTCATTTATTAGCTCTTCTGTTGGCTATTTTTGAGGAGGCATTATAAGATAAGGGCTGTGACGGTCCCGTTTATACTTTCATTTGGACCAAATGGTTCAGGAAAAAGAGATCACTGGGATTTCTTCAACCAAGATTTGATAAATTAAGTTGTTTTTAATCAGAAAGAGAGAGAGAGACACAGACAGACAAACAAGCATGAGGGTGGAAAGCATATAAACATATTAAGTCTAGGAAGTAGGTCTCTAAAATAACTATGGGTTTGGTTTGCCTTTGATAAACAAAGCTGATTGTAATCAAACACATAAGCAGCTAAAAGAACCATTACTGTGAACTGTGAATGTCTGCTACCCAAAATGATCCATGGATCCCAATTTTCCATAGACAGGAAGTAGGCTGAAAAATAGTATAATCTACATTAGATACAGCCAATAAAGTTCCTGAAAAATTTAAACCCTACAAAATCATAAACAACAATAGACTAGAGACCCTACTCCTAAACCTTGAGAATAGAATCACTGTAAATCAAAGAGCAATCCTACCTCCATGGCAGCGATTCTTATTTAATCTGTCCATTGGAATTTTAACACACTACATACTAATGACAGCTGTGCATCTCTGATTCATATTATTTCCTAATGAGAGTGATTGCAGTAAAAACCCTATCTTTGTCTCACAACTGTATACTAGATTTGTTGGGGTTAAATAACATATATTTTAGTCTCTAGTTCTTCAGGTCATAATGAACTATATATCTAAACTGAAATTTTAGAAACTGCAGCACATCATTCCCCACCTATCACCTAGAGATAGCTGGATTGAACTTTCAGATTTTCACCAATGTGGACAGGATAAGTACATTTGCCTGTGAGATGGAGACTGAATATTTGGTGACTAAAAGAGCTGACTGTGGTATATTACTGCTGTTTATCAACTATTTCCTGCTCTCTCCTTTCCAGGTTCATTTAAGATCTCACTACCTGGCCCTATTATAATTGAGGCGGGCACTGTGAATGTAAATTAGGAATGGAAGTGTCATTTCCGGCCCAGAATACTGAATTATTTGTAGGAAATCTGACTGGGCTTGTTTTCACTCTGCCACAATAACAAAATGTTTTGCGTAGGAACTACATATCAGGCTATTTCCTAAGTTGAGGACAACATGAGACCAAACCCTGAGATAATCTTCAGTTGAGTAGCATAAGTAAGGTATGGACCTTTGTTGTCTGAAGCGAGAGTCTGAAGCGAGAGTTTAGGGCATGACCTAGTCTGTCATGGCTAATGCATGCCTTGTTCTGCTTCATGATTCTATGACATTAGTTCTTTGTGAATTTTCTGTTATATTATGAAGTCATATAACCTCATACCTTTGACATCCTGGTATTTCACCACCCAAATGAGTGTAATTATTATATCAAATTTATAACATTCTTTGTGTATTTCCTCTTCCAAGCCATTTATTAAAAGTATATTGAAAATTAATAGAACTGCCCCCAATCTTGTTAGCATATTTATAAATCACCATTTAAATTCTGTACCTAATTCTGTTTTCCTAATTTTTAGTATATTTTCTTCCCATGATATAAAATAGGTCCCTTAAATAAAGTTAATTTTATTTTCACCTACCAAGTTTTGTTACTCAAAAGAGTTGCTGAGGATTTCTTGCATATATTATTTAGACTATGACACATCCATAAATGCTCTTCGAGAGACTGTTAATGTAAATGAGCTAATCATATCTTTAATGCCTTCTAACACATCAAATCATGAAAAGAAAAAAATCAATAAAAATTCAAATAGAAACCAATGTCTATATGCAATGAAAGGTAATTCAAGCAAAAATATTTCTAAAAATTCAAATATTATTTATAAATTTATACCACTAAAAATCATTATACATGTCATAACACATTTATAGTCACCTAACTGCTTGCTATTTGATAAATATTATAACCCAGAAATTAATATAAGACTCATCATCAATTTCAAGGAGTCCCACATATTTTAGCCCTTTAGCTACTACTTTTAGTCTATCATACAATTCTCAAATTTTAACATTGAGCTTATATAAGCATATTTTTTTTTCTCCAAGATACACCAAGGAAAGTAAATGGTGTGAAACTGAATAAACATTTATAAAGCTCTCAGGGGAGGAGAGTCAGAAGGAAAGTATAAATATGTAATGGATGTGTAATTTTATTACCTGAGTATTTAACAACTCCTCACACTTGTGTGCTTGTTTCTCAATTGCAGAAATGTACTGTTTTTCAATAGCTTCTACTTGTTGCTTAACTGAAGACTGTAGTAGTGCCTAAAAACAAGCAAAAAAAAAAAAAAGTGATTTGGATCACAGACAAAACTTGAAGTCTTCTGCTGGCATGAGAATTTTTTTGACAGTTGTACATATCTGAAATATGATACTCTTCTGCATTAGAAAATGCACATTTGTGAATATTGAAGCACATTCATATATAACACTACTTTAAGCTTTTGGGTTTAGGTTTTCCTATTGCCAAGACTACAGTTTTTTGGCTCAGATGTTCCTTCCACACACCTCTCCTTAAAAAAAGGCCAAGTCATAGATGATAAAGAGGGTGAGTAGTTCTGTTAAATATAAATTCATTTTAGTGAAGACCACACAGGACGAGAAGCGTATGAAAGCTGCTGAAAAAAAAAAAAAAGAAAAAGAAAGAAAAAAAAACCCAGACATATTTCACTGGCTGACAAAACTCCACATCCTCTCGGCACACTGTAATATCCCATGGGCCAAGCATGATCTTCAAGACCACAAGTCAAGTAAAAGCAGATGGAAACTCTGAGCAATTTCAAACATAAAAGAACTGCCCCCCAGGAAGTTCACGCCCCTAAAGTGAAAAGGTATAAGTCAAAGTGTGGACATAGAAATCTAAAGGAAGTATTTGTAAAAAGTAATAAAACCTGGGAGACTAACTTAAGTGGGGAGTGTAAATGCTGGAACCTCAGTTAAGCACAAAGACATTAACATTGTTCTAAGGGAAGCCAAATCAGCATTTGAAGATGTTCCACCCACTCACTTCCTTATTGGAGATCCTTAGAATATTATCATCCTTTTTCTTTCCTTTTTTAAAGCATTATATGTTATACATAACATGTTCCCAATATTATCTTACATGCTATTTATAAATCCCAAACCATTCTAAAATATGCATTCAACCATATACATAAGAACTCTTTAGCAATAGCAAAAATTCTATTTTTGAAGGTCTATCTGGATAATAAACTACTCATAATCAAAATAGTAAGTTGAAACAGACACATGTCTTATAGAAAACAGACGTTTGGCTCATTTACCAAAAAAAAAAGGAAAAATAAGCCAAATCTCTTAAATAGTCTCTGTTATGAAAATAGATTTACTTGGTTGGAAATAACATGCATTAAGAAGCTAAATATGCATGTATTTAAAAAAAAAACCTAAGATAAAAATATTTTTTAAATCTCTAGATAAGCCTCAAATTTTCAGATAATTTTCTCTTGCAAATAAATGTTAGACAATGCTACTACTCTTATAATTCAACAGTCATCACTCTGAAGCTGCAGAATTATTAGTAAATTAGTTAAGAAAAATAGAGCTCTAATTGATGTTTACCAAATATAAAGAACTGCTTAATAGAACTGTTTTATACCTTCATGTTTATACTTTATGTCCCTAAAGATTTCATAATGACTCATCTATATAAGACACCAAAATGTAATCTCTTAAGCTCTGACTAGATAAAGTAAAGCTCTAATTTACTTTTGGTAAAATATGACATACTGTTTGTTGGACTTCAGAAAATTTAAAAAATGGTATAGTTTAAGACAATTCTCTTGGGTATTTTCACCACATAATTTGTAGAGAGAAAAGTGCCACTCTTTTTTAGGACTCAGGATATGACAGAATTGGTTTTGCTTAACGAAAAAAAATTATTTTTATTTACCTATTTGCCATGGTTTCAAAGAATCCCACAGTTTAAATACCTAATTATTATTTTTTAGGAAATTATATCCTTTAGAGGGACAGGTAAGTTCATGAAATAAAATATTTTCTCACCATAATTAAGAAACAATTAAATAGCATTTTTTCCTCTAGTGATTGATATGTACATGATATATTCATTTTCTTCCATACTTCAAGAAGGCGAGGACTATGGATAACAAGTCAAGTAAGAGCCAAAGCTGTGGTTATGAAGCACTGAGAAAAGCAATGCAAATATAACCAGCCTTTCATACAGTTCAAACCTCTCATCTTAGCCGCCTTCAGTTATTTAAACCTGCCCATCCACAAGAGAGACATAAAGGTAAGTACTGGGAACATTAATATTATAAAAAAGTCTGTCCTCACTGAGTTTCTTCTATTGTTGGAGAGAAATGTTCCCTAGATGATCAAACACATAGGTATATGCAAGGTAACCACATAGGTATATGCAAGTATCAGAGAAAGAAAAGATATTCAAAGCCTGCCTTGAAAATCTGCTATACGCAGAGAACATTAAATAGATAAGAACAGCTTGAGCCCAGAGTGGAAGCAAATAGTAAGGCAGGAAGGTAGAAAAGTAGGCAGGTGCCAGATATTAAACTACCTTGTGTGTCACACCAAGACTGTTTTAAAGGTGGCCTATATTACCCAACAGTGGGGTTATTCGTGCCATACACTAAACAAAAGAAGTATTTCCAAAAGCTTTCCTTACAACTAGAATATTAACCATTACAGATACACTTACAGATACACACTGGTACTAGCAACATGCTTTTACGGTTTGATATATCATTATACAACTGGGTATTTATTTTCCAATGTAATATAACATAATAATTGCCTTTAAATTTCTCATACATTGTTTAAGTATAAAAATGAACATTAATCTTAACATTTCCCTGTACTTTATCCATTTTTTTTTCTCTGTAATTGTTTCCACAGGTAACGAAGACACAAGGAAGGCTTCCTTTGGCCTTATACAAAACTATAGAAAAATATATGAAATAATAATTTCCTTTATAAGCTATTTTAAAACTATTCTCAACACATATAAAGCATTAAGATTCTCACAGCATGTAGAGGCAGAAATATAAAGATGTATACAAACATTCTATAAAGAAAAAAAATGCTAACAAAGGCAGAGGATGTTTTGTTAATTTTCAACGCATTTAGGTTTTGGCCTTAGTCCTATCAGAGATTTTCTTTATCACTCCAAGGAATTTAATGTACTGATCTTTCAGGATAATTTTAAAGGTGTGAAAGAGGCTGTGGGTTCCTTTAGTACAGGAACTGTATCTTACTCATGTTTATATACCATGTATAACTTAATAACTTCTTACAGAATTCCTTGTATAGAGTAGACCCATGCAATAGCTAATTGGTTAGTAATGATCCTTGTATTAAGATTAATATTTTTAAAAAATCATAGCACAAATGGTACCAATATTCACTGAAAAGTTCAGTGAGCTTCAAATTATAACGGCCAAGTTACCAAATTTGTTGCTGAGCAACTTTTTATGTTATTCTTTTAGGCTAGAAATGTCCATTCTTTGTACTTAACAGGATAAATTTTTCAGTAAATAAAACAGAGTGTGTGAAGAACTATAAACTTCTGAGAAGGAAAAGTGGGTTATAAATTCTACAACTATTAGACACATAGAAAACAAGATATTAAATCCAAAACCACCCCAAACCAAGCAACATCCATAAACAGTTAATATATATTTTAATGGCATTGAATATATGCTGGAATTTAAATGAGTAGAGAAGTATTGCCAGAAAGGACTACTGAAAACAAAACTATAGTCCATTGTCCCACAAATTCCACCAAGTTTTTCTTCTCCCTTAAAATAGCCCAATTCTTACAGATCTGATTCTAGTCTCATCAAATTAAATGACTTGTTCAGATTTGTAGAGCAAACATGTCTAAGGAGCCAGATGGTCTAAAAAACATTAATATCATGTTGTATTTAGCATATAACCTTAAAAACAAATCATAGCAAATGTTGGGGAAAAGTAATTAGAGTATAAGTCACAAAAAAAATTTATCTATTAATCCTCTAAGTCATACTTTACAAATGGAGGAAAGTATAAAGCTGTGGAGCAAGCTAGAGGCAAAACGTATAATAAATAGCCTCAGTAAAATTTAAGCCCTAGTAGAATAGAAATCCATGTTTAATTCACTGATGTACCTAATGTACAGTACCTAACACATAGAAGACATTTGATAAATATGTGTTGAATGAACTGAAGAAATAAATCCTGATTTCGGCATGTCCAAGCCTGATTACTTGTCTATTCATGGAGAATAGACAAACTAATAAAACTTGGATGTTAATTACATCTGTAAGTTTAGCTTTTTGACTATATTAGTACGGACAAATTATTATAAAAGGTTATTTGAAATTAAGCACAATTTTACCTTTCTTGGAAAAAACACTCATTTGCTTTTCAAAAATGTATTTCTTATCTTTTCTAATTTTTAACTAAATAAAAAACTATTTTTATTTAATAAAAAAGCAAAACCGAAAGGTATCTGCAAAATGAGTAAGTTAAAGCTCTGAAGAAATACTTTTATATTTTTTCTCGCATAAGTGCTCTTTTTGAGCAAAATATACTTCAAATTTTACAAGGCTATTAAACTGTTATCATGTTTTATATTCCCTGAAAATTTTGAACATATCATGTTAACTTGTTATTCAAAAGGAAAGCCCACTTAACTGAGATACATTTGAAAAATGATGAATCTCAGTCATTTCAGTGAATAATCTGTCTTTTTCCATGACCTCTACATATTTGTTTTACAGATAAAGAAATAGACACTAGGTTAAGAAATGTGCCCTAAATCACACATAAAGACTCAATGGAACAAAGAACTGAATTCAGAACTACCCACGTGGTTCCCTGTTTGTCTTAGCTGTTCCAAACCAGTAAAGCAGATTTCTCTTCATGTACTAAGCATTTATTATATTTTTATAGCCTCTTAATTATTTATTCATTCTTCATTTATATCTCTAATATATACTGAATGCATACTTTCTTCCAGACACCATTCTGGGGATACAGAGTCAACAAAATAGACATGATCCTGACTCCTGAATTTACATTATTGGCAAGGGAACAGGAGAGTGGGAAGGACAAGAAAGACTGGAAAGTAGAAAATAAACAAACCATTTCTGATGGTGTTGCATGCTACACATTATGAAGAAAATGAAAAGGGATAAAAAGGAAAAAACACTGATGGAGAAGAAAATTTTCAGAGAAGATGGTCAAGAGCTGTTTGGAGAATCTTAAATATAGTTGAGATGTCACAAGTG